TGGGCAAGGAAGCAGCATCAGACAATGTCATGCTGCTGATCACTCCAAAGCCTCTGACTAGGACTCTGGCTCTGGATCAGGGCAGGGAGGTCCCACCTCATTCCTGCTCAGGGAAGGCAGGGAGGGTGCCTGGAGCCCATCCCAGCATCTCCTTGCAATGCCTCCTGGTCAGAGCAAGTCAGTTGACATTTGCTGATGATTTCTGAGCAGGGGGTATGATCCTTTTCGTCTTCCTCACTGCTTTCTCTCTCCTCCATCCTCAGTCCTGCAGCCAGAAAGAGCTTTCTAAGGAGCAAACGACAGCCATGTCTCTCCCCTGCTTACAAAATATCATCTAGATAATACATTTCTGTAGTAAAAAAAAAATCCAAGAGTGTAGAAAGATTTATAAAACCTTCCTCCCGTCACGTTCTGCCATCTGCCTAACACCACTCTCCCCGCACACGCAGGTAAGCACTGTTTTTGTTTTTCTTGTTTCCTTCAGAATTTCTTTATGCATATGCAAGCAAAAGTGAGTACATGTTCTCTCATCCAGCCATATTTTTTACACATAAGCTAGCATATTTCACACACTGTTCTGCAAGTCCCCCCCCCCATTTAATGTATCTCGGCAATTTTTTCATGTTTTTACACAGAGCACTTCCTCGTTCTTAATACAGCAACAGAATGTTCCAGCATCCCTATGCCAATGGATGTTTGGGGGCTCCCAGCCCTTTGCTGCACCAGACAAGCCTCTAGTGAGTCACTTTGCACTTGGCCAGTGTAGTAAGTTTAGCTTCAGGATAGATTCTCAGGAGCAGCATTGCTGTATCAAAAGAATGTGAGAATGTAATTTTGATAGTTACTGCCAAATTACTCTCCACTCCGGCCACCACCAATGTGTGACTGCCCGTGTCCCCTTAGCCCAGGCAGTAGTGTGTTATCAACCCTGTAGATCTTTACTGAGTAGATAAACATAAAATGGTATTCTGTTGTTAAAAGCCTTTCACTGTAATCTTGATTCCCTCCAGGATGAAGTCCAGCTTTCTTGGGTAGACATGGGCGTGAGCACAGCTTTGTCCTTTCTCAAGGCTCCTTGTCAGCTCAGGAGGTGAGGGGGTGGACCTGGGCCCAGCTCATGTCTCTGGGCTTCAGTTGCTTAGCAGTGAAATAGGGCAAAAGCATTCTCTCTGATGAAGGCTCTCGAGTTCTGAGAATGCACAGATTCTTGCCTAGGCAAAGCAGGCACGCCACACACATGGGCACCCATTGATACCTCCTGGTCTCCAATGGGAGGGAGAAAGAAACAGGGGATCAGGAAACATTGGCAGGGGGTAGAAGTCCCTCTGCCCTTGCTCTCCTCATGCCTTCAGCCCCTCCTCTGTGCCACATGCTGCCACCTTGTCATGCTAATTGCCTGCACATTCTCACAGACCTCAGGCTACCTGCTGTGCCCAAGCTAAAAAACAGCATCACATTAACTCTAAGCAAAGCTCACTAAGACCATGAACTGTGCATCAGTGGCAAAGGAAGGTCAAGGTTCTTTACGTGGGAGTTAGTGAATCTGGGTCCCTGTGGCGCCAGTATTCACAAACAAGATGAAGGGGGATCTATTTGGAGGTAAGTAAGTGACCGGTTGTATGGCCAGAATTCTGGAAACTCCCACTCATGACCTTCCTCGAGCCTGATCTTGGCCCCACTCCTGGAGGAAGAACACACACAGGGCCAGACAGGTCAGCGTTGATGAGGAGACGCAGACCTGAAGTTGAGAATGCCATCCCCAGGGGTGAGCCTGGCCGGAGGCTGGCGGGGAGGGAAGCTGCCAGGCAGCCTGCTGGGTGTGCACTCTTTCCCCTCTGGGCCTCTGAGTGCTCATCGGTGAAAAGGGAACTCCACTTGCAGAAGTCGTGAGGGAGGCATCAGAGGTGTACAGGTGCCATGGAGCCCTTGCCACCCTGGAGGAGATGACAGTGACACAGGGCCTGCCTCCTCCACCCTGGGCCTGCCTGCCCAGCACCCCCACAACACCCTGAAAAGGCAGAGGCCAGGGGAAGGAAGAGGAGCTGTACCACAAAAGGAGAGAGGTGAGGTGAGGGTTTCTTTACAAATAGGCATTATTTGTTTTCGTTTGAGACAGTCTCACTCTGTCTCCTAGGCCAAATCTTGGCTCACTGCAACCTTTACCTCCCAGGTTCAAGGGATTCTTCTGCCTCAACCTTTCAAGTAGCTGGGACTGCAGATGTGCACCACCATACCTGGCTAAATTTTGTATTTTTAGTAGAGATGGGGATTCGCCACATAGGCAAGGCTGGTCTTGGACTCCTGGCCTTATGTGATCCACCTGCATCGGCCTCCCAGGGTGCTGGGATTATAGGTTCAAGCTACTGTACCCAGCCAAATGGGCATTATTTGGATGACATGCAGATGATTCTATCTTTATATTAAAACTAAGTTTTGGAGGAGTTCTCAGGACAAGTACTTGGAGATGTAGATCTTTTTCTAAGCACCTCCTGAGGCATCCTATTTGCCAGCCCCTTCCCCTCCCCACCGCTACTACCAGGCCTCCTCCCACCAGCCTGTCCCATACTCCCTGTATGGGTGGTCATTTGGAATAGGATCAATCCTGCAGATGTGGCCTCATGCACATCTGGGGACTTCTGCCAGTTGGTCCCAGGTCAGAGCCCAGCCTGTGCCCTGATCAGGCCCTTCAGGGCTGTGTGCTTTGGGGCATGGTCCTTCCCCTCAGCCACTGCATTTTTGGGCCTCCCAGTGTCCAGATGTTGGATGGGAAGATGCCCAGGTATGAAGCATTGTACAAACACAAGTGTTCTCACTCTGGATTTTCTAAGAACGTGCCTCTTGATCTGACCACCAACCTCAGACATCCCTGTAACCATCATCAGCCTTTGTTAGACTGTACTGAGAGGCTGTGAATCTTAATGGCTGAGGATACACCAGGGGACAGGCTGGTGGGGCTCAAGGCCACACAATGGTGGAGCCACACAAGTCAATCTGTGTGATCCCCACAAGTCAATCTCAGATCCTTGGCTGCCCCGTGTGCAAAATGGGTGTGACTGCACCTACGCCTCATGGTTAACAAGTGAGCTCAACAACAAGGTCTAACAACGTGAGAACCCTGCTGTGTCCCCGGAGAGAGATGTTGAAGTTCTAACTCCTGGTACCTGTGAATGCGAGATTATTTGAAAATAGGGTCTTTGTAGATGATCATGTTAAGATGAAGTCACTAGGGTGGGGCCTAATCCAATATGCCTGGTGCCCCTCTTAGAAAGAAAGAAGGTGCCATAGACAGTGCAACAGACTAAGAAGGTCACTTGAGGATAGAGGCAGAGGCTAGAGCGACACAGAGACAAGGAACAGCAAGGCTGGTTTGCTACCAACCAGCATAAGCCAGAAGAGCAGACAAGAGACTGTCCATGAAAGCCTTCAGGAGGAACCAACGCTGCCAACATCTTGCTTTTGGACTTCCAGCCTCCAGAACAGTGAGAAGAAACTCTTGTTGTGGAAGTCATGTAGTGTGTGGAGCTTTTTTTGTTTGGCAGCCCCGGGACATGGACACAAACCCTGAGGAGAGCCTCTGGCGTAGTTAATGCCATCTGCTAAGCTCACTCACTGTTTGCTTGATGTCGTTCTTCACCATGCATGGTGGGCCCAAGGTCTAACAGTCCCTCAACAAACACTTGCTAAGTGGAGGACGCCACGGTGAATGTCTGCCTTGCATCATCAGGCCCCCAGTTAGTATTTACAGAAGGCCAGGAGGGCTGGCCTGGAAACCACCTTTGATGTCTTTCCCACCCTCATGGATTCATTCTAGCTCAGTCCGAGTCCACAGTCATCAAGCCCAGTGGCAATGTCCGTCCCCAGGGAAAGAGCTCAGTGCCCAGCACCATACTTGGCATGCCAAAGGCAGCCTCAAAACACCCCTCTGCGGAGCCAGTTGGACCCTTTAAAGAGAAGCATCTCTTGAACCCCACCTCCCCCAGAGCATCTTGTGACCTGTTCCAGGAGGGTCGTCACCCTCCAGCCCATGCCCCTCTCCCTCCAGTGTGAGCCCCAGCCTTTGTGCCAGGTTTAGGATGGGCAGTGTGCACAGTCACACTTCAACTTGAGAAATGTGGTGGAGCCAGTAGTGCTTAAAACACTCGTGTTAACAGCAGCATCTAAAATCCCATGTCACTTTAATAGGAAACCTCTGCCATGAGCAGGTGGCAGGCATGGCAGCTCCTCCCCACAGCGGCCACCCCCCAAAACATCCACTTGGAGTAGGTGGAAAAGATAGGGGCTTGGATCTGTGAGGAAAGCTGTGCTGAGCCCCACAGCTCCCAAAGAGGGCCTTCGAAGAGTCCCTTGAGACTGGGGCCAGGGGTAGGACATGCAGAAGCCCAAGCCAGGTCCCTCTGTCTTTTCTGGCCAGGACCACAGGGCCATTCAGCACTGGCCGCTGTAAAGCTGAAGGGGAGGGTTACGGGGGGGGCAGGGGGGTGATGCTTCTTCCGAATCCATAGTGGTATGCTCTTCCTTCAAAACCCCGAGGGCAGAATGGGACTCGGAGGCAGCTCTGGCTCTGCCACCGATCCAGTGACAGGGCAGTCACTGTGTCCTGGTGCTTCAGTTTTCACATCAGTAGAATGGGGGCCACCCTGTAACATCCACACCAGAAGGCTGTGAGCACTGACGCAGGGTGAGAGCGAGATCCCCTACAAAGTTCACCTGACCCCCATGGTGACCAGGCATGGGAGGAGGGCTTGTTTCTTCTGCCACTGGCCAAAAAGCTTAGTGTAGCCGCCAGCAGCACGGCCTGTGGGGTGGCGGCCATCTCCAACTCCGAGCTGAGAAAAGGCTGCATGGGCCACACCAATTGTATGGATGTCAGCCTCCAGGCTATCCCAAAGGGTGCGCCAGGCCCAGGCTTGGGGACACAGCTAGCCGGAGCCCAGCTGGGAAGCAGCTCCTGTCCTCCACCCATGTGACCAAAGGTGCAAGTGTCCAGAGCCTGGCCTGGGCTACAGGGAGGCCCCTGCGGGCAGGGGGATTTTATAGCCACTCTGCAGGAGCATGAGGCAGGTGCCCAGCCCCAGGGCCCCTGTCAGCAGCACAGCACCCAGGGCCTTGAGGAAGAAAGTCTGGGTCTGGGTGAAGGAGCCAGGTGCCATGAGCCCAGCAGGGCAGTGCTGATGGTCAGCATGTAAAGGATGGACATGCCCATGTTGAGTGCCATGATCTTGCTGAACTTGGCAAATGGGGCAATGAGGCAGAAGACGAGGGGCACTGTGGCAATGACCGTGGTGAGGGCACTGGAGATGATGGCCATGCCCACACGTTGCATGGCCTCCAGTGTACACCACTGGTGCTGTGATCGGGTGTCCTGGGGGTGAGAAGAGACCCGGGGGCCCAGCCTGCACATGGGACCCTTCTGGCCAATGCCTGGGGAATCATGCGCTCCCACCCCAGGCTGGGTTCCTGCTCTGTAACTGGGATGAGAGCTGCAAGTGGCCTCACAGGGTTGGGAGAATAGGTACACGGTGGGTGTTGCTATGGCAACAGGATGCTAGGGTCTGCACAGTAGGTCCTCATAAATGGGAGCCCTGCTTGGAACCTATTTTGTTCCTTTGACCACAGGCAGTTAAATGTGTGACTGATTTGATTTTTACATGTTTGTGAATGTTGTCACACCAGTGCAGTTCCTAACTAAGGAAAAAAATTGTTACTAGCTTCAGATCCTTTGGCACTGGATACATAAATATGTCCTCACCAAGCCAGCAGGGGCTGGAGCAGAGTTGTGGCCTCTGGGTCATGGCTGGAAAAAGAATGAGCCATGGACTTGGGGCAATGGGAAGAAGAAAGGGCCCTTAGAATCCTGTGTCTGGTCTAATCCTCTCATTGATCACTTGGGGAGACTGAGGCTGGGGGGAGTGGACATTAGAACGTGATCCCCTGAGGCTTGGGGATCAGCTTTGGGAAACCTTAGTTCCTAGAATGCAGCCTGCGTGAGGGTCCTGGTACTGGGGTGTCCAGCTGCCCTTGAGGGTCCCTCAGCTGCACGGACCTGAGAGAAGACCCAATGTGGGTGGTAGAGGGTTAAGGCAGGCAGGATGCTCACCTTGGCCTGGTGGAGGGGCAGGTTCTCTTTGGCCAGCAGGTAGCCTTCAACCAGGTGGACGCAGTAATCCACAGAGGAGCCAACAAGGGTGGACAGGGAGATGGCTTTCACGGTGCCCATCTCCCAGCCGCTCCAGTACATGATGATCACCACCAGGCACATGATGCCTGCCAGGGAACAGCAAGGGAGGCAGCTTGGACTCCTGCCCTGGAGGCCTTAGGGGAACAGGGACATTTGGAGTCCAGCCCCACCCTCAGGTGACAGGAGGGACAAGGCACTCTGAGGGGGCCTCCAAAAGAGGGGACAAGTGTGACAACACATCACTGAGCCAGGGGCTACTACCTGGGTACCCTGGCTCTGCTCGGGAGCACAGACCTATAAGCCAGTGTCCCAGATGGCACCGGCAGGTCTTGTGACATGGAGTGTGGGAGGAAAAGCCTCCAGTGACAGTGAATGGTTCAGATAAACTTGCTACCTGGAGGCCACCAGGGAGACCCTGCCTGTTGCCATCCTCACCAGCTGGATGCCTGCCAGCCCCTCACCCATGTACCCAAGAGGCTCAGGAGCATGGGCAGCAGGAGCAGGATGTTGGTGGTGAACACGGCCACCACGGCTATGCAGATGAGCAAGGACAGCACCAGGCCACACAGGGCGCTACGCACCCCTGCAAGGTAGAACAGGGCCTCAGTGCACTGCTCTGTGGGTGGCTGCAGCCAGCTGTGCTGCTGGGGTGAGCCCTTGACCTCTCTGAAACTCCAATTCTCCACTTGTAAAATGGGGTCATAACAAGACCTACCCCACAGGCCTTGTTTGGAGTTGAGGAGAACACAGGTCAGGCCCTCAGTCCAGAGCCTGGCACCTAGCGGGTGCTGGTAACTGGCAGCTGCCATCATGGTCATAACTGCTACTTTTTTATTTTATTGAGACGGAGTCTTGCTCTGTTGGAGGCTGAAGTACAGTGGTGTAATCTCGGCTCACTGCAACCTCAGCCTTCCGGGTTCAAGCGATTCTCTTGCCTCAGCTGCCTGAGCAGCTGGGACTACAGGCACGTGTCACCATGCCCAGCTAATTTTTATATTTTTAGTAGAGGGGAAGGGGTTTCACCATGTTGGCCAGGATGGTCTTGATCTCTTGACCTTGTGATCTGCCTGCCTCAGCTTCCCAAAGTGCTGGGATTACAGGCATGAGCCACCATGCCCAGTCTGTTACTTTTTAGGTGGCCAAAGTCCAGATCAGAGAACGTGGCCAGATGCCCCCAATAGGAGAGGACCGAAACTTTAGCCTCTGATCAGTGTTCTGGCCATTGTGTCACTTGGTTTCCCCAGGGCTCTTGGTCAGGACGGAGAGTGTGGCTCAGAAAGGCTGCTTCACACCCTCCCTGCCCCAGGTCCCTCTGCCTCAGCCCCTGTCTGCCCAGGGTGGAGGGACGGGGCTGCCATTTGCCTACGATTTCCATGAAGATCTGCTTCCAGTGCTCACAGGTCCGGAATCCCCTGTGCAGGGCTGAGCCGTCGGGGAAGGCCCGCAGCTGCAGCTGGAGGAAGCTCTCCCAGTGCAGGTAGTCCGAGTACATCTGGAAGGAGGATTTGCCTTTGTACATGGTCTGTGGGGAGAGACAGGAGCTGGTGAGACAGGCAGGGGCTGTGTGGCCCACCCACCCTTCCCAGGGTATGGCTGGTCTGTTCTGTGGCCACTAGTGGAGTGTTGTGTGTGTTGGGGAGGGTGTGAATGATGATTCAATCGAAAACGAGTCCCGACCAGCTTCTGGAGGCATCATGTGATTGTTATAGCAGTGCTGGTCCAGATGCAACCACGGTCCTGGCCCACCAGAACCCCCTTCAGCTCCCAGGGCCCCCCATGCTCTTGTGTCCACGCAGAGCACATGCTGTTCCTTCTGCCTGCTCAGCCAGTTCTTGTTCATCCTTCAAGGCTTTCTGGGGTCCTGTCTCCTCCGGGAAGCTTTCCTTGATGCCCCAAGGTGGGCCTCCTTTGGGGTCTCCAAACCCTCAGTGCTTCCCCAGCTCTTGTCACTGCCTGGCAACCTGCCTGGCCCTGGAGAGTGAGACTGGGAATTGCAAGAGCAGGAGAAGCCTGGCTGGCCCACAGTGCCCAGCCCCGAGGTGTGCTCATGGATGATGAATGAGGGAAACAGGCACTTTCCCTGCTCTAGAAGGTTCTTAAGGTATCTGCTTATCAATTCTGCTCTTGCTGCGCATAAGCCAGTTCACAGGAGTCCGTGTGTATGTGTGTGCACGTGCATGTGTGTCTGAGGGCTGGTGGGGTCAGCCTGGAAGTGGGTGCCTTGCCATGTGGTAAGCCTGAGTGGGGACTTCTCTCCTCCCTGGAATTGCCTGGGGCTTCAGCCTGCAGAGGGAGGTGAGTTCTGATATATGGTGCAACATGGATGAACCTCATACCAAATAAAATGAACCAGTCACCGGCCGGGAGCATTGGCTCACACCTGCAATCCCAGCACTTTGGGAGGCCGAGGTGGGTGGATCACTGAGGTCAGGAGTTCGAGACCAGCCTGGTCAACATGGTGAAACCCCATCCCTACTAAAAATACAAAAAATTAGTCAGGCATGGTGGTGTGTACCTGTAATCCCAGCTACTTGGGAAGCTGAGGTAGGAGAATCACTTGAACCTGGGAGGTGGAGGTTGCAGTGAGCTGAGATGACTCCACTGTACTCCAGACTGGGTGACAGAGCGAAACTCCAGTTCAAGAAAAAAAAAAAACGAAAATGAACCAGTTACCAAAGGACAAATGCCATATGATTCTACTCACATGAGGCTCCCTAGAGTTGTCATATTCATGGAGAAAGTAGAATGGTGGGTACCAGTGGCTGTGAGAAGGGGAGGGGAGAGTTGGTTTATAGCAGGGACAGAGCGTCACTTTGGAAAGATGAAGAAAGTTCTGGAAGTCGATGGTGTTAATGGTTGGATAACAGTGTGAACATACTTAACGTCACTGAATTGTATGCTTAAAAATGGTTCAGGCTGGGTGCCGTGGTTCCCACCTGTAATCCCAGCAGTTTGGGAGGCCAAGGTGGGTGAATCACAAGGTCGGGAGTTCTAGACCAGCTTGGCCAACATGGTGAAATCCCATCTCTACCAAAAAATAAAAAATAAAAGATAATTATCCAGGCGTAATTGTTTGTGCCTGTAGTCACAGCTACTGGGGAGGCTGAGGTGGAATAATCACTTGAACCCAGGAGGCAGAGGTTGCAGTGAGCCAAGATGGTGCTGCTGCACTCCAGCCTGGGTGAGAGTGAGTGGCAAAAAAAAAAAAAAAAACGGTTAAGATGGTCAATTTTATATTATGTATCGTTTACCACAGTAAAATAAAAAAACAATCTTTAAAAATCCATCTGGGGTTTTGAACTGGTGTCTGCATTTGCCTGAGGTCTTGCTCAGGGCTCCGAGGCCCTCCGGGCTGGTGGCTGGTGGCCAGTGGTCTCCTTGCTTGTGCAATCAGTCACACAAACAGTAGGAAGGAAGTCAGGGTGGGGGCCAGAGAAGTCACCTCCCCCCTGTAACCTGTCACATTTGTTCTTACTTCCCAGGCTTTCCCATGTGTTCTTATCTCCACACCTGCCAGAGGGCAGCAGGGACCTTTAACCCTCTTCTCTAGAGGAGGCCAGAGGGGATGAGGACACAGAGCACACAAGGATTCCAGTGAGGACTGAGCCCAGGTCTCTGCATGGAGGCAGCAGGGATGGTCTTGCCAAGCCTGGGAGAGCCACATGCCTGGGCAGAAAGGTCCCACAGTGCCCATGAACCTGGCACTAAGTAAAATAAACCAGCCACCGGTGTGTGGGGGGGGTTGTGTGCATGTGTGTGTATGTTCACAGGTTTGTGCCTATGCCTCCTTGGGCAGAGCCCAGGGAGCATCCTGGAGTGACAGAGGCAGCAGGGAGGTAAAAGGGATGGAAGGTCCCCTGGTCACCCTGAGGGAGGCTGCCAGGACCTGGGGCCCTGACCTGGCCTCCCACAGTGGCAGAGGCGGGCATCCTGGACTTCTACTGGCCCCTAAAGACTAGAGACTAAAAAATACCATGGATACCTGGTTAGTGGTGAGGGATGGGAGGAGAAGAGTCGGTGGAAGGGAACTGGCAGGCCACCCAAGGGGAAAAAAGGGCAGAGCTCAGTCAGGTGGCCTGGTTTAGCACTTGACACTGACATCCACTAACTGTGTGACCTCAGGTAAGTCACTCCACCTCTCTGGGCCTCAGCATCTCCCCCTGATCTGGGATCAGAGGTGGCACACATGAGGTAAGTATGCAGCATGGTGCCTAGAGAGGCTGCCCAGGCTCACTGACTCAAAAGCCATGGAGATCCATGGCACGTGGCCTTCCCTGACGCCCACTGCCCCATGGGACAGCTGCCCCGGGAGCAGGTTGGGCTCAGGCAGCTCCTTGCACTCAGGGTGCAGCATCTGCAGGAAGGAGAAGATGCTGTAGCCTGGGGGAGAGACAAGAAAAGGAGTAGGTAGTGGCCTTGGAAGAGCCAGTCCACCCCCGTCACACCTGTGCCCATGCACTCACCTACCTATAAGGCTTAAAGTGTTTGTAACCAGTGGCAACGGCATTGGGAAACCTACAACATGATTTTGACATCGGGGTGGAACATGACATGTGGGGCCCTCCCAGGGATACACCTGCAGTGGCCTCATCCAGGTTGGCTGTGGACCAGCCCCTGGCCCCAACTCCAATTTTGGAAAAGCTACCCCTGCAGGTGTGCCCCACATCCCACATATGCACACCTCTGCTCTAGTCCCGTTCACACACAAGCCTGCTCCCATCTGAAAACCCTTGACTGCTGGCACACACCCCACCCTGGTGTGGACACACACAGCACAGATACACACCTGCAAAGACACCTACACTCCAGGCACTGTGTCCTTCGTGCTGTCTTCCTTGTCCCACGGCCTCTGTGTTTCCCGGGTCAGTCCATCCTCCCTCAGAGGAACCAGCTCCCCCGACCCCCACGCACCTGAGGGCTTCACCAGCCTGGAGTTGGCTGCCATGGCCTTGCAGAGATGACACAGGTGCCCAATTACCTTGAATAGGTCAAAGCTGCTGTCATAGACAACGCTGCCCTTTCCCAAGGAGACACAAGCCAGGCCAGGCCGTTCAGTGAGAAGGGGACTCAGTCCTGCGTGCTCACCCTCAGCCCCAGGGATGCCACACAGGACCCTAGGGCTCCCCTCCTCCCCTCCCCCCGCCACTTCACTTGGACTTCTTCCTCTTCCCACCCTCCCAGATAGCCACATCCTCACTATTCCACAGCACCTGCCTGGTCTCCTGGCCCTGCTCTGAGTGCCTGCAGATACCCAGTGTGGACTGAACACACACATTTTCTTCGACTCCACCTTGCTCCTGACTTACTCCATGGCTGCCATTCCTTTATACCCCACTGTGCTGTGACTACTAAAGGCAGGGGATACACAGCTGACCTTCCTCCCAGGAATCCCCAGCACCCACTATGCCCAGTTCAAAATGGGACAGGAGTGCATGTGAGGGAGGGGCATCTCAGCGAGGAGAAAGACACAGCTGAGCTCAGAGCAAGGGGGAGGGCCCGGGGAGGGCAAGGAGGTATCCACACCTGTATCACCCTCGCTCCATTCTCGTCCCTCACAGGGAGGCAGCCGCCTTGGGCCCTAAACCCAGATTCCCGGGTGAGTCTAAGAGGTGGATGCTGCTGAGTCCTCAAGAAGAACAGGGCCCCCAGGAGCCCAAGGGGGTTCTGTCTGGACTGGAGGAGCTATCGAGGAGCCAAGAGGGTGTGGGAGGTGCTGGACATGGTTCCCTGGGCAGGTGCTTATTTGCAAGTCTGTTGCAGCTGGGCCCTCGGCATCTGCCAGATGCAAGCCCTGTGCCGGGTCTCCAATGACGTGGTTGTCCATCTGCCGGGTGCAGTTGATGCCAATAATGCCAAAGACCATGGCCCTGGTGTCCACAAGCGGCCACACCACTGGCTTCGCACAGCCTGTGTTCACACAGGGGTTGAAGCTGAAGGTGGCTGAGAGACTGGTCTTGGGCACTGGGAACAGGAAGGCAGAGCTGTAAGGGCAGGCAGGGCCCAGCTCCCTAGGTCCCTACCTGTGTGCCCCTGCCATACCTTTCTCACTAGACATGAAGAAGAAGCCTTTGGTTGGCCCGTCAGGGCTGGAGCTGAGCAGGCAGCTGGGGGGAGTCAAGCACACATGCCTATGGAAGGCGGGCTTGTGGGACTGGGTGAAGCACAGCTTCCTGTGGAGGCAATGGAGGCTGGGCTGAGGCCAGAAAAACCAGGAGGAGTCAGGGGAGGCGAGGCGAGTGGGCCGAGACTGAAGCTGGTGGATAGTGGGGTCTGGACTGGGCTCTGCCCTTGTATGGGGATTTGTTCTTGGGCTGGGGGAAGTGCCCTGGGCCAAGGGTCTGGAGGCTGTTCTAGCCCCGTCTCTGCCAAGGCTGATTGTGGGAACCTAGTCAAGGTCTGGTCCCTCTGGGCCTCAGTATCCCCATAGAAGGCATGAAGGGTGGAGAAGACCAAAAGCTTTCAAACTGTCCCCCAGGGGTATGAGGGTTCAGGAAGGACTCCAGGGCCAACCCTAGTGGTTCCCACTCAGAAGACCCCAGCCTCGCCTCAACCCCAACAGTGAGGAAGTCTCTAGATTCTACAGGGAGGAAGGGCTGCAGGGTCAACAGCTGGCTAACCACCGGACCCATTGCAGCTCAAAGTTCTTTCTAGAATGTTTTCAGCTCATCTAGGCAGCCTGCCTGAAACCTGGTCACTGATGTGTCTGTGCAGAATGAGGCCAGACTGGGGCTCAGGGAAGGACAGGCAGAGGGAACCCTACTCCTGAGTCAGGATGCCAGGCTGGAAAGGACCCCGTGGGTGCTGTCCTGCCATTTTACAGCCTCCCAGCTGCACCCTCAGCCCCATGCAGAGTTTGGTTTCCTGTAGCTGCTTGATGCTCCAAAGCCAGCCCTGTCAGAGACTCTGGAAAGGACCCAGCAAGACATGTCCTGCCATTCCCCGGCCTCTAAGCTGCATCCTCCGCCTCATGCAGAGTTCAGCCGCCTATCAAACAGCCTCCGGTGTTTGACACTCTAAAGCCAGCCCCATCAGAGCCCACAGTCCCTGCATGTCACCCAGCCCCATCAGAGGCCACAGTCCCCATGTCACCAAGCTCCGACAGAGCCCACAGTTCCTCTCACCCAGCCCCATCAGAGGTCACAGTCCCTGTGTCACTGAGCCCCATCAGAGACCACAGTCCCCATATCACCAAGCTCTGACAGAGCCCACAGCTCCTGTCACCCGGCCCCCTCAGAGGCCACAGCCCCCATGTCACCCAGCACCCTCAGAGGCCACAGTCCCCCTTTCACCCAGCCCCATCAGAGCCCACAGCCCCTGCATGTCACCCAGCCCTGTCAGAGCCCACAGTCCACGAGTGTCACCCAGCCCCCTCAGAGGCTACAGTCCCCAGGTGTCACCCAGCCCCATCAGATGCCACAGTCCCTGTGTCACCAAGCATGGCCTCACACCGCTGTTCTCTACCACAATGACAGTGGGGCTATTTCTTTCAGAGTATGTATCATAGTTTATAATGACACTGCTGTTTACTTGTTAGTGGCCTGTCTCTCAATGGATGGCCCGAGGGCAGGAGTCATATCTGTCTTTGTCACTATCATGTCCCCAGCACAGTGCCGGCACATTGGAGCCCATGGTTTGTTAAATCCGTGAACAGCAGAGAGAGACCTTCGGCTAACATGACCTCCACGAATAAATGGATGCAGGGCCGTGTTTACAACACGGGGAATGAAACCCCAGAAAATGTGCCCCTGGCTGGCATGGAGATCCAAAGAGCACAGAATTCGGCCTCTCACTGGGCACGCAGTGGGGGCTGATTTTACACTAACAGGGACTGGGCCAGTGGCAGGTGAATACAACAGAGGCCCTCCCCTCACTCTCCTTCCAGTGTAAGGGGCAGGGGCATTCAATAAATATGTTCTGAATTCATGATGTATTTAGAGTGTGGGTGAGTGCCTTGTCAAGGAGAAGCGGTGTGTACTCATTTATTCATTCATTCAGCAAGTACTTACCTGCACCTGCTATGCCAGACACCATGACAGCTGCTGGGAAGCAGCACCAAGTGAGACGGTCAAGGTGCCACCATGAGATGCCCATGTGCTCTCGTGGGAAGACAGGTAACAGCGCAGGTCAACATGGTGGCAGGTGGCAGTGGGGCCAGGAGGGCAGTGGGTGACATATGGAAAGAGGTTGGACATGGCGCTAGAGGAGGGACAGCCTCTCCTGGGAGATATTTGGACACTGGCTTGAATATTGAGAAATTGTCTTACACGTGAGAAGCTGGAGAAAAGCATTCTAGGCAGAGGGTGTGCTAGAGCAGGTGGCCACTGTAACCCCTGAGGAGCTATCAAGAGGGGGAGCAGCTCCCGGGCCCACCATCTTTCTAATGTTCTCCACTACCCAGCCCTGAGCAGAGACCCATCTGAGCAGGTGTGTGGAAATGGGTGGTAGTTTCTTAAAGGGGACTGCTGGTTTCCCTCAGGGCCGACTGCGGTGGCTCATGCCTATAATCCCAGCACTTGGGGAGGCCAAGGCAGGTGAATCACCTGAGTTCAGGAGTTTGAAATCAGCCTAGCCAACATGGCAAAACCCCACCTCTACTAAAAATACAAAAATTAGGCAGGTGTGGTGGTGCATGCCTGTAATCCCAGCTACTCAGGAGGCTGAGGCAGGAGAATCACTTGAACCTGGGAGGCAGAGGTTATACACAGTGAGCCAAGATTGCACCTCAGCACTCCAGCCAGGGCAACAGAGTGAGACTGCATCTCAGAAAAAAATGTTGGGGGTGCCTGCTGGCACGCCTCATGTGAAGAGAGAAAAATTAGAAAAGGGCAAAGAAGCAGTGGGGCTGGTGGGCACTGGCTTGTCTGCCAGGCTCTGTTACTGGGTGTGCTGCTGCTCCTTGGTGGCCATGTAGAAGCTGAAGTCAAACTTCCAGCCCCGTTTGGCATCACAAGCCAAGGTCGTCAGCATCTACTTGCAAGAGGGGCTCACTGCCTGGAGCAGCCCTACTGTAGACATACAAGTGGTCAGCTTCCTGGTGAAGTTACCAAAAGGTGCTCTATACACCTAAGCAGTGGGTTGACAGAGACGAGACACATGACTCAGGGGGGCTGCCTCGGCCTGGGCTCCATCCCCTCCTGTCTCAGCATAGTTCACCTAGTCCCCACCCTTGAAGTCGGGGACAGAGCCCTGGGTGGAGGCTTGGAAGGCCTGGGTTTGAGTTCGGCACTTGGGCAAATCTCTTCCTCCCTCTCTGAGCCTCATGTCTTCATTCAACAATTGCTCACTGTCTGTCCCATGCCAGGAAATGTGCCAGGCTCTGATGGGCATGGCCCCTGCCCTCGTGGAGCTGGCAATGATGATGGCTCCCAAGAACAAAGAAGATAAGATGGGACAAATGGCAGGGAGAGGAGGACAAGGTGAGAAAAGTGCTGGGGCAGGACTGTGTGGGGACCGACAGGCATGCTGAGACCTCAGTGAGCACCAGAGTCAGCCACATATGAAGCCAAAGGAAAAGCTTTTCAGGCAGTGGGAACAGCACGTGCAAAGGCTCAGAGGCAGAAAATGCCTTAGAGACCTAATCTTTCAAATGAAAATATAAACCCTGAACAAAGGAATTGGCACATGTCCCTGTCACCATGGAGGGTGGACCATGTTAAAGAAACACAAATGAGCCTGGGCAACACAGAGAGACCCTGTCTCTACAAAAAATAAAAAACAAAATTAGCTGGCATGGTGGTGTGTGCCAGTGGTTGTAGCTACCCAGGAGGCTGACAAGAGAGGATCCCTTGAGCCCAGGAGGTCGAGCCTGCAGTGAGCTATGATCATGCCACTGCACTCCAGTCTGGTGACAGAGCAAGCCCCTGTCCTCCCCACTCCAAAAAGAAGAAAAGAAACACAAATGACCCCCATGAAGGGGAAGACTCAAGTCCGTGCTTGGGGACTCCTTTCTGCCATGCTGGAGTAGCTGCCAAGGACAGCAAGATTCCTGGCCGCCACTGCCCAAGCAGGGACTGCACCCAGGCGTTCTGCACTGCACATGCCTCACCTCACACATCTGCAACAACTCTGGCTGGTGCTTGTCACATCCCCATGTCACAGATGAAGAAACTGAGGCTCAGAGACAGTAAGTAATCTGCTCAAAGACACACAATTAATCAATGGCAGAGCCAGGATTTGAATACAGGCCTGGCTGACTCAGAAGTCAACGCTGCTACCACTCAGCAGGTCCCTGTCACAGACATAACTGGTGTGGAGGAGGGGGTCTTCATCCTCAAAGCTATGTCTCTCTCCCTATGTGGCCAGTGCCCACAGTGTGGCCCTCAGGGCCCCTCATCCCCAGTGGTGGTGGCTCACTTCACGACAGCCCAGGCTCACCTGGAAGGAGGGCACCTCTCCATCTGCAGGCAAAACAGCTTGCCAAGGAGCAGGCAGGCTGGCATTGAGGGAGAGCCTGTAGACAGCAGGATGGCCTTTACTCTTCAGTTTAGAGATGTACACAGTGCCCAGGAAATCTATGGAAAAATGAGGGATGACAGACGGGCAGACTTGACCTTGACTGACTTATCCTGACCATGAAGCAGGACACCCTCAGCTCTATTGACTAAAGAGCTGAGTCCTGGCCTTGGGCTTATCTCCAGTGCTGACTGTGCCCCTCTCTACTAGACCAGGTCCATGGCAATGATAGTGGAGGAGGTGATGGGCACATGGATGGGGTGGGAGGGATGGTGAGGGAGGTGATGGGCACAGAGATGGGGTGGCAGGGATGGTGGGGGAGGTGGACACTAGGATGGGGTGGGAGGATGGTGGAGGAGGTGGTGGGTGCTGGGATGGGGTGGAAGGGACGGTGGGGGAGGTGGTGGGTACTGGGATCAGGTGGGAGGGATGGTGGAGGAGGTGGTGGACACTGGGATGGGGTGGGAGAAATGGTGGGGGAGGTGGTGGGCACTGGGATGGGGTGGAGAGATGGTGGGGGAGGTGATGGGTACTGGGATGGGGTGAGAGGGATGGTGGGGGAGGTGGTAGTCACTGGGATGGGTGGCCCAGGTGACAGTGATGGAGGGTTCCATGGTGAGGTGTGCCAGTGATGGTACAGGGCTGGCGCTGGGAATGACAGTGGTCAGGCAGAGGTGGTGACAGTGCCATAGGGTGATAGGGATGAACAGAGTTCCCTCCATTCCTCCAGTACCCTTGTCCCAGCACCCACCTCTGAGGGAGACTCCAGTAGGGATAAGCCAGTGTTCAGAGCCCGGGACGCCCTCCATTCCCCCTACCCCCCCGACACTCAGGAGATGTCTCTGGTGTACAGGGAGGGCTTGGAGAGCACCACAGACCAGTGTCAGGGGAGCCTACTGTCCTGGCAGGATGGTGGGTGAGGGCCCCAAATTCACCCCCCTTCCCCAGCTCCTCAGCAGTGACCAGGAACACACATTCTTCTTGCAGGAGAATCCAGAAGGAATTTTACCTGCTCCCCTCACAGGGCCCCCAACCCTAGCACCAGGGAGGATTTCCCCACACTCCCACCCCTAGTGCTCACCCTGCAGGGTGGCCTCAGGCTGGCTGGCCCAGGGGACCCCTGAGCCTCGCCTCTTCTTCTCCAGGGATGTCCGGATGTTGTTCTGCAGGCTGTGAGGCTTCTCCTGGAACAGACCTGACCCCCAATGCCACATCAATGACAGCAGGGCATCCCGGGCTGGGCCCAATGGGCAGAGGGAAGAGGCTGGGATCTGAGACAGTCTCAGGAACTGGGGCCCAGGGACTGGAGGGGGTGGGGAGGTCAGGGGTCAGAAAAAAACCTAGAAAGAACTTTTAAACAATCAAATACTGAATTTATAAAAATTTTAGGCCCATAGAAAGGCACCATCAGCCTGCCCAGAGAAAAACATCGAACCGCCCCTGCTCTCCCTCTCTGTGCCACTCTGCCCTCTGTTGGGTAGGGATGATGCCACACTTTCATCAGGGGTGGGGTGTTGTATCCTCCGCACCCAATTGACAGGCATGACTGAAAAGCCAAGGTCATCAGCTGGCGGACATGATGGGAGACATTTATTCCTGTTTTGCCTCAAGTGTTGTACGTTAGCCTTTTGAGTTTTTTAAATTAGAAATGAGAGAAACTCCACCTTCAAAGTTCTGATCCTCACAGCCATCCTGCGGCAGTTCTGGAAACCCCACTTGATGGAGTGGAAAGCAGAGGTGGAGGGACCTGCCCAGGGAGTGACCTCAGCCCTGTTTGGGTCTGGCCTCACCTGCCCTTTGAAAAGCTGAAGCACTCTGCTGTACTCTGGAGGGGTCTCTTTAAGAGGCAGTTCCAGAGGAAGAGGTACAGGGGGCAGGGGCTGGGCTGTGGGTGGGGTTCTGGCCCCAGATGTTGTTGGAAAGTTTGGGGTTTGTCCATCTGCAGAAGGGAAGCAGGCCCTTTGAGCAGGCAGGAAGCCTGTGGTGGCAGTGATGGAGTGCAAGGCCATGCCCTGGCAGCGGGGAGAGGAGCTGGGGATGTGGCCGAGGCTGGCTCTGAGGTTCGAGGGGCTCCCCCAGTGCCTCTCAGAGCTGCAGTGGATGATCATGCATTTGGCTGCCATTACCAAGGGGAAGGCCAGGTTAATCTGACCACCCTAATTAAATGAAGGCAGTTACAGCAGCCAGCAGACCTGCTTCTGGGAGCTGGAAGCGCTCACCCAGGCATCTTCTCATTTGGTTTCTAACTGCCCTGGCAAAGCTGGATGACCTTGGGTTGATTTCGCCTGCCCCCACTCAACTGCCCCTCTGTAAAATTCGGCCTGGACCAGCTACCTCAGAGTCAGGGAGCCATCTCTATCTCCCCTCCTTGCTCATTCCCAGCTCCCACCCCATCACCAAGCCCTGTGGAAACCACCTCCTAAAAACCTCTGGACTCCATCACGTCTGCCATCAGCACGCTGGTCCCAGCGCCACTGCCTCTCATCTAGAATACCCATTAGTCTCCTACCCAGCCTCCACCCAGTGCCCCAATCCACTCCACACAGCACCTGGGAGACTCCATCACCCCGCTTCTCTACTTGAACCCCATGACTAGTCTCCAGTGATGATCAGAATAAAATCCAGAACCCTCACTTTCGCCCCCCTGCCCTGGCCCAGCCCACCAGCTCACAACCTTAGCTACTGCAACTGCCTCTCTCAAACATGGTCTTGGTCTTCCCACCTCTGTAGCCTCCTCTGCCTAGACTCCTCCCTCCTCTCCCCTCCCTGCCTGGCTAACCCCACCCCTTTCACCTCTCCCCCGACTGCCTGGCTAACCCCACCCCTTTCCTCCTCTCCCCCCACTGCCTGGCTAACCACACCCCTTTCCTCCTCTCCCCTCCCTGCCTGGCTAATGCCATCCCTTCCCGCCTCTCCCCTCTGTGCCTGGCTAACCCTACCCCTTCCCTCCTCTCCCCTCCCAGCCTGGCTAACCCCTCCTCTTGCTCCTAGGCTGGCTAACCCCACCCCTTTCCTCCTCTCCCCTCTTAGCCTGGTTAACCCCACCTTTTTCCTCCTTTCCCCTCCTAGCCTGGCTAACCCCAACTCTTCCCTCCTCTCCCCTCTGGGCCTGGCTAACTCCTTCCTGTTATTGTGAGTTTTGGCTTAGATGTTACTTTCTCCAGGAAGCCTTCCATGATGTGGGCCTCTTAGACTCTCTATTCTTTCTCCACCAAAGCTCAGATCTACTATTACAGTGACCAGTCCCTCGAGCTGGAATGTGGACTTTCTGAGCTTGGGAAGCCTGTGCCTCCCACCCACCACACTCCCTAGAGCCAGCACCCAGCAGGTACCCCACAAGCATCTATGGAATGAACTGTGGGAACACGGGGGCTCAGAGGTGAGTGGGACTTGCCTGAGGTCAGGCATGAATGGGGAGCCCAGATCCTGCATCTCTCAGACCAGCAGTCTTTGAGATCTGGACACCCAAGGGGGCAGGTAACGCCTCACCTGAACAGGTGATGCAGGAGATGCCCTCAGTGCTCAGGTTGTACTTGAGGTCCAGCAGCACCTGGATGTTGGTATTGGGCGGAAGAGCAGTGGGGCCTGGCTGGTGGAGCGGACAAACACCAGGGACAGGATGAGGATGGAGATGAAAAGCCCTGTGAGGAAAGGGAACTACACCAGACAGGGCTGGGCCCAGCTGGTGCATTCCCAGCAGGCTCTCGAGCACTGGGAGACAGCTGCTCTGGTTGTGGGGGCCGGGCTAAGGGTGTAGCTGCATGGCTGAGGTCTCAGCTGAAGTTAACGCATGAGCCAGCTGGGCAAGGCTCACCCTAGGGACCTAGCACAAGAATAATTCTCATGGTTGATACGGGGACTGTGTGTGTGGTTAATACCACTGCCACGTGCCAGCAGCAAGCCGGGAGCCCTGCGTAGATGATCTCAATTAATCCTCACGGGACTCACACACAGGGATCACAACTGCTTCAAAGAAAAAGAAACAGATGCAGAGAAGTGAAGTCACTTGCCCAGGATTCCACGGTTCCCAAGGGAGGAGGCTGGGCTTGGAGCCCATGTCTGACTGACTGCAAAGGTGACCGTGCTTAGGACTATTGGGGGACAGTCCCAGACTGGGGGGCAGGGGCAGTAGGCTTATTTGGCATCTCTGTAAAGATTAGAAGAAGGTACCCTTTCCCCACAACGCTGGTTCTATGTCATGAAACTGTCATGGAAAACAGTCAAATCTGAATGCCAATGGTACAGAGAACAGAGCTTAGCCAGGGCACCCGTGGGCAGTGCCCAACCCGTGCCACCACAGCAGGGTCCTGAAGGGAGAGGGTGTGAGTGGGAGAGCTCAGGAGTCCATCTCAGGCCCAAGTCTAAGCTCCTTGCTGGGCCCTTCTCTCCCCCCAGCCCCTCCAGGGCTCACCATGTGCAAGTGGTCATGGGTCCCTGAACACCACAGACCAAGGCTTTTCTTTTTTTTTTTAATCTAGAAAGACCAAGGCCTTTTTTTACAGTGAGTGGTCCTGTTCCAAGCCCAGAGACTCTCCATCATCTCTCTATTCTGTCAACCTCAGGCAGCCACCCAGGCCTGACTCAGCTCCACTGCCATCCCCCTCCATCTTTCCCGACAACCAGGCCCACAAGACCTTTCCCCCTAAACCTCCAGCAGCAACTCTGAACTAACCCGTTTAGCTCTGCACACGGCTCACTACATCTAAAGATGAGAACCAGAGGATATTGAACATGGTACCTAAGAGCATGGGATCTGGAGGCAGACATTCTCGGGTTTAAATCAAGGCTCTACTGCCTACTAAATGGGTGACCTTGAAAAAGGTGTCCAACCTCCCTGAGTCATTGTTCTCTCATCTATAAAATGGGCACAGCAAGAGAACCCAGCTCCCAGGGTACTTTGGGGAGTGAATGGTGATGTCATAAGATCTTGGACAAAAGTGTTTGCTCACTTCCTGCTGATATGGGTGATCATAAATTGCAATTATTGGACAGAAGTTTCTTTTACTCCCTGTTCCCTGCCTAGCACAGGACTCGGCACATAGAAGGCTTTTGGAGGAGTGGGTGGTGTGCCAAGCAGCTCACAGAGCCCTGTTGTGGATATCCTGCTGTGGGAAGAAGCCCTGCCTGACTTACCTGGTTTGGCAGGAGCTCTCCAGTGGTGCCAGGTAGAAGATCCAGAGGCCCAGAGCTGCAGGCATAGTGACAAGCATGGCCAGCCCGCAGCAGGACATGATGAGGGACATGAACAGGCTGAAGTCATGGATGGCTGGGATCTGGTGATGGAAAGGAAGAGAGGGATGTGGGGCTGGTTGAACCTGGAGTCAGGGGGCCTGGGTGCCCCTGCAGCTGGAGAGACACTGAGGACCCCAGATCCCTCCCAGACTGAGGCAAAAGGAGGAGGAGGCCCAGGCTGTAGAATGCCAGCCACCAGCCTCACAGGACACCAGGAGCCAAGGGCTGGTGTCAGGGGTTGCAGCAGCACAGGAAGGGCCCCATCTCGAGCAGAGGCTCTTGGCTAGCTGTAGCCCACTGCCTAGAACAGTGCCTGACACAGAGCAGGGCTCAGTAACTGTCATTACAGGAACGAATGGAGGATAGCAGAAGACACATCCTGTGAGACAAGGCCATGTGCTATTGGGGGCAGGGGGAGAGAATGTTGCCACACGATGGAAGCAGGGACCCTGGGAACTGGGAGCAATGGGTATGTTCCAGAAGTACCACAGGGACCACAGGGAGGTGCCAGTTGGAAAGAAGCTCTAACCAACATCACAGCAACCTGCACTCTGTGAAACACTGTCACAGCCATCCTAGCCTATCAGTCCCCAGATAATCCACACATGAGGAAAGCGAGGCTCAGAGAGGTCACACAGCCTGCCCCAGGACACAGCAGAAGCTGAACCCAGCTCTGCCTACGTTCTGGAAGTGATTCTCTAGAAGGATCCAGATAATCCTAAAGCATCTACTGGTTTCCAGATGGACTGCTCAGCTCAGGTCATAAAGTATCTCAAAGACTTGGGCCAATTCACTCTTTCCAAACCAAGGACCCATTCTGGGTTCAAGGCCTTCTCCTAAGCCCCACTCAGAGGCAGCGAGAGAAAGTCAGCGTGAGGGAGGAAAATGCAGCTGAAAGGAGGCAGGGGTTGGGGCAGGGGTGGGAATCACTGTGGATTTGGTCAGGCTTCTCACTTATCTGCTGTGTGACCCCAAAGAAGTCACTTTACCTCTCAGGGGCCACGTTTCGTTTTGGAAAACAGGATGGTAATTGTACCTTTGACGATTAGCAAGGGTGAGAAGGAGCTTTGAAAATCGCCAAATGTCCTCCAGGGTGGAGGCTTGGCTAGGGCTACTGAGTATCCCTGATACATGCTGTCCAGGTGATTATAATATTCCTAATTGTTAAGTTTAGGTAATGGGTGATTTGTGACAAAAATGAACTGTAGAGATGGAGCAAATACCTTGAGGTGAAGGCTATGCAGGCACTCATGTGGTGGTGGAAAGGGCAGAGACCAGGGGCTAGGTGTGTGCACAGGGGCCAGGGGGAGGCCAGGACAGGAACGGAGGGCAGGTCCGCACCTGGGAGAAGACATTCACTGCATAGGCGGCAGCTGTGGTCAGGGAGGTGAAGAAGGTGGCCTTGCCTGCAGTTTGGATGGTGTGAATCATGCGCAGCTGTGGGTCTTCCAGATGGGTGGCCTGGCTGTGGGTGTTGATGAACACAAACACGTCCACACCTGTGGGAGGGAGTCCCAGGCCAGGAGGGCAGAATCAGGACCATTCTGCTGTCTCCAGGATCGGGCCCAACTTGGGCCTGGACCAAGTCTGAGTGGCCTCCTGGGAGGTCAGGCTGCAGCCGAGTCCTGCTTCTCAGCTTTGAGTTTGGAGAGACCCCTCTGACTGGCTCCTCCCACCAAGAGTTCAAGCCCCACCCCCCAACACACCACACTTCTTGGCCCCAACCTCACCCAGAGATAGGTGCCTTCTGCCACATCCTGGCCTCTTTCCCACATTTCCCACCATCCTCACCTCCACCCAGCAAACCTTCCTGCTCTCTCCACTCATCCTATGGCAAGGATCCGCCCGCCACCCATATTCTAACCCCTCACTCCAAGGCTCTAGGCCTCAGTAGGGCTGTGTAGAGCCCCAATGGAAGCCAGGTTTTGTATCCAGGGAGAAAGGGGGTGGGGCAGAGTTCCCATGTGGGAGGTGTACTGCCATGGCAAGAGCGGCAACTCACCAATGCCCACGATCACGAAGGTGGCCACCCCATTAAGGATGCCCAAGTGTTGAATACCAAAGACCACGTGGTACAGGAAGAGGGCCACCAGGCAGCTAAGACCAATGCTGGCAATCCCAAAGAAGGACGGGAACACTGGGCAGGGTAACAGACACAAGGGAGAAGGTTGGGGGACCCTCATGGAACACAAGCCCCATTAGTGTCCCTGACGTCAGCTGGGTCCCACCTCTTCCCCACAACCCTGGACACCATTCACCACCCTCTCTGTTCCCAGCACAGGCAGAGGGCCAATTCTCTGTTCTCCATGCCCAAAGAGGGCAGCGGCAGGAGGCCCAAGTGGCTGATGAAGCCATCTCTGAGTAAGTCAGGTCATCCTCCTCTTTGCAGACCTTACCTCAAGAGCCTTATGGACCTTATATATTATCTGGGGGTAGGAACTGGGCCTGGATCCCTGGTACCTTATAGCAGCTGGCATATAGTTTGGTGCCCAGCAAATATTCATTGCATGGATGAATGAACGTCTTTTTCATTTTGGAAAGTATTACCATTCTCTTGTCTGCTTGGGCAATAGAGTGTGCCTACTGTATACAGACAGCAGTAAGCAACAGCTGGTGTCCATAGGCAGGTGGAGGTGAAAAATTGATCAGTGGGGGGCAGAGGGCAGCTGACTTGGACCCCAAAATAGGCCACAAAGTAATCCGCAAAGGAGTGCAATACCCCAGGCTCCTTAACACAAGGCTATCAACAGGAGAAAGATGGTCAACAGGCAAAAGGTCCAATTCTACAGGTGCCCAGGGTAGAGGGTGTGACCCAGTCTGGCACAGCTCAACCCACCTCTAGGCCTCGGTCTGCCTGCCCATGGTTTAAAAAAGATTTTTGGACACATTCCTGTGTCCCCAGCTCTGAGGTGCTGGGTTCAAGAGTATTCTGAAACTCTTGAGAAGGCAGGCTCTGGGCAGACAGGAGCACCCTGGAGGGGAGGAGATGGCAGGCCTGAGAGAAGCCCTACCTGAGCAGGAGGTGAGGATGTAGACCAGGGCAGTGATGCAGCTGCTGCTGCTGAAGGCCAGGAGCATGTCATTGTTGAACGTCCTGCTCACTTCATAGTCAAACAGGTGTGTCCGCCCATAGAGAACCTGGACTTTGCTGGAGGAAGGGAGGATGTGGAGAGAGGAAAGATGGGAAGAGGATTAGAGCCAGCTGTGAACACGTGGAGGAGGATCCGGAGCTGTCCATTTCACCTGTGGCTTTGTATCTTGGTTGGACATCAAAATCGCCTGGGGGCTTCCAATCATCCTGATGGAAGGCCAGACTCCAGACAAATTCGATCAGAACTGCCAGGGTGGGGCTGAATCATCAGGGCTCCCTAACTCTCCCAGGTGATTCAAATGTAGGGTCAAGGTTGAGAACCACTGCTCTATGCAGATCATGATCAATTATAATCAGCTTCTACCTCATCTTCCAATTCTCCGTATCTATGGCCAAGTTCTAAATTCAAACTGGCTTCTAGATATTCAGTTTTACACTGTTATTCAGTGTGTGCTTAACACGTTATTATTAATTTAAAAAATAACATAACCAGGCTAATCAAACTGTGTCTTAAAATACAAATATGAGTGACATCTGCTTCTGGCCAAGATTGAGTAAGAAGATGGAGTCCATATTTGTCTTCCCACTGGAACCAACAAAAATGTGAGAAAATACATGAAACAAGGCAACCAAGGATGATGATCCCTGAGAACAGAGAAACAAAATGAGTCCTATGCATATCCTGGCTTATTGCTTTCAGAGAGTTTCCAGTCCTCCGTGCAGCCTAAAATATGGGTTATTAGACTCCCTGAAGGAGTTGTTGTTTTGTAGAGTGCTCCTTTGTGACTGTTGTTGCGTAGAGTGCTCTATCGTGACTGTTGTTGTGTAGGGAGCTCTATAGTGACTGTTTTTGGGTAGGGTGGTCTATAAGGACTGTTGTTGGGTACAGTGCTCAATAGTAACAGTTTTCGGGTAGAGTGCTCTATAGTGACTGTTGTTGGGCAGGTGCTTCATAGTGACTGTTGTTGGGTAGGTGATCTATAGTGAATGTTGTTTGGTAGGTGCTTTATAGTGACTCTCTTTGGGCAAGTGCTCTATAGGGACAGTTCTAGGGTAGGGAGCTCTATCGTTACTGTTGTTGGGTAGCTGGGCTATAGTGACTGTTGTTGTCTCTGGTGCTTCATACTGACTGTTTTTGGGTAGAGTGCTCTATAGGTGACTGTTGTGGGGTGGAGTTCTCTATAGTGAATGTTGTTGTTTAGAGCGCTCTATGGTGGCTGTTCTTTAGTAGGTATTCTATAGTGACTATTGTTGTGTAGGGTACTCTATAGTGCCTACTTTTGTGTAGAGTGCTCGATAGTGACTGTTGATGTGTAGTGTGCTATATAGTCACAGTTGTTGGGTAGGTGCTCTATAGTGACTGGTGTTGGATAGGGTGATCTATAGTGACTGTTCTTGGGTACAGTGCTCTATAGTGATGGTTTGTGGGTACGTGCCCTATTGTAACTGTTGTTGGGTAGGTGCTCTATAGTGTCTGTTGTTTTGTAGGTGCGCTATAGTGACTGTTGTTAGGTAGGGTGCTCTTTAGTGACTGTTGGTAATAGGGTGCTCTACAGTGAGTGTTGTTGGGTAGGTGTTATGTAGCGACTCATGTTGGGTAGGTGCTCTATAGGAACTGCAGTTTGGTAGGTGCTCTATAGTGACTGTTGTTAGGTAGGGTGCTCCATACTGACTGTTGTTGGTAGGGTGCTCTACAGTGACTGTTGCTGGGTAGGGTGCTCTATAGAGACTGTTGCTAGGTAGAGTGCTCCATAGTGACTGTTCTTGAGTAGGTACTCTATACTGACTGTTTTTTGGTGGGGTGCCCTATAGTGACTGTTGTTGGGTAGGTGTTCTATAGTGACTGTTGTTGCGTATTGTGCTCTACATTGACTGTTTTTGGGTAGGGTGCTCTATAGTGATTGTTGTTGGGTAGTGTGCTGTATAGTGACTGTTATTAGGTGGAGTGCTCTATAGTGAATGTTGTTGGGTGGAATGCTCTATAGTGGCTGTTGTTGGGTAGGGTGCTTTATAGAAACTGTTGTTGGGTAGAGTCCTTTACAATGACTGTTGTTGGGTAGAGAACTCAATAGTGACTGTTGTTGGGTAGAGAACTCAATAGTGACTGTTGTTGGGTAGATGCTCTATGTGGAACGTTGTTGTGTAGGGTGCTCCATTCTGACTCATGTTGTTTAGGTGCTCTATAGTGACTCTTGTGTAGGGGGTCTGTAGTGACTGTTGTTGGGTAGAGTGCTTTATAGTGAAAGTTGTTGGGTAGTAAGCTCTATAGTGACTGTTATTGGGAAGGTGCTCTATACTGATTCTTGTTGGGTAGGGTACTCTCTGGTGACTGTTTTTGGGTAGGGTGCTCTATAGTGACTACTGTTGGGTAGAGTTCTCTATACTTACTGTTGTGTAAGTGATCTATAGTGACTGTTGGTGGGTAGGTGCTCTATAGTGACTGTTGGGTGGAATGCTGTATAGTGACTGTTATTGGGTACAGTGCTTTATAATGACTATTGCTGGGTAGAATGCTCTAGAGTGACTCTTGTTGGATAGAGTGCTCTATAGTGACTGTTGGTTGCTGCATTGGGTGCTCTATACTGACTGTTGCTGGGTAGGGTGCTCTATAGTGACTGTTTTTGGGTAGAGTGCTCTAGATAGGGACGTTTTTTGGGTAGGTGCTCTATAGTGATTGTTTTCTGGTAGGGTGCTTATAGCGACTTTTGTTGAGTAGGTTGCTCTATAGTGACTGCTGTTGTGTGGGGTTCCCTATAGTGACTGTTGTTGGGTAGAGTGCTCTATTAGTGTCTGTTGTTGGGTTGAGTGTTCTATAGTGACTATTTTGTAGAGTGCTCTATAGTGACTGTTGTTGGGTGGAGTGATCTGTAGTGACTGTTGTTGGGTAGGGTACTGTATAGTGACTGTTGTTGGGTAGCAGGCTCTAGATACTGACTGTTACTGTGTAGGGTGCTCTACAGTGACTCTTGTTGGGTAGAGTGCTCTATAGTGACTGTTTTTCGGTAGAGGGCTCTATAGTGAATGTTGTTGTGTAAGTGCTCTACAGTGACTTTTGTAGGGTAGGTGCTCTATAGTGACTGTTACTGGGTGCAGCGCTCTAGAGTGACTGTTGTTGGTTAGGGTGCTCTAGAGTGACTTTTGCTGGGTAGTGTGCTTTAGAGTTACAGTTTTTGGGTAGAGGGCTCTATAGTGACTGCTGCTGCATAGGGTGCTTTATAGTGACTGTTGCTGGGTAGCATGGTCTATAGTGACCGTTGTTGGGTAGGGTGCTCTATAGTGACTGTTGCTGGGCAGGGTGCTCTATAGTGACTACTGTTGAATAGGTGCTCTGTTCTGACTGTTGCTGGGTAGGGTGCTCAATAGTGACCGTTGTTGCATGGGGTGCTCTATGGTGACCGTTGTTGGGTAGACGGCTCTATTAGTGACTGTTGTTGGGTGGAGTGCTCTATAGAGACTTTTGTTGTGTACAGTGCTCTATAGCAACTGTTATTTGTTAGAGCGCTTTACAGTGACTTGTTGGGTAGCTTGCTCTATACTGACTGTTTCTCGGTAGGTGATCTATGACTGTTATTGGGTATGGTGCTCTACAGTGACCGTTGCTGGGTTTGGTGTTCTATTGTGACTGTTGTTGGGTAGAGTGCTCTATACTGACGGCTGTTGGGTAGGTGCCCTACACAGACTGTTGTTGGGAAGGTGCTCTATAATGACGGTTGTTGGGTAGGTGCTCTACGGTGGCTGTTGTTGGTTAGGGTGCTATGTAGTAACTGCCATTAGTTAGGTTGTGCTATAGTGAATGTTGTTGGGTGGAGGGCTCTATAGTGTCTGTTGTTGGGTGGGGTGCTCAATACTGACTGTTGCTTGGTGTGGTGCTCTATAGTGACTGTTGTTGGGTAGAGTGCTCTAGAGAGTGGCTGTTGTTCGGCAGAGTTCTCTATAGTGATTGCTGTTGGGTAGGTGCTCTATATTGACTGTTGTTGGATAGGGTGCACTATAGTGACTGTTGTTTGGTAGGTGCTCTATAGTGACTGCTGCTGGGTAGGGAGCTCTATAGGGACTGCTGTTGGGTAGAGTGCTCTATAGTGACCGTTGCTGTGTAGGATGCTCTACAGCTACTGTTAATGGGTAGGGTAATCTTTGGTGACTACTGTTGGGTAGATGCTCTATAGCGACTGTTTTTGGGTGGGGTGCTCTACGTTGACTCTTGTTGGGTAGGTGCTCTATTGTGACTATTGATGGGTAGGATATTCTATAGTGACTGTTGTTGGCTGGGGTTCTTTTTTTATTGCATTTTAGGTTTTGGAGTACATGTGCAGAACATGCAAGATATTTGCATAGGTACACACATGGCAGTGGGTTTTGCTGCCTTCCTCCCCTTCACCCACATTTGGCATTTCTCCCCAAGCTATCCCTCCCCAGCTCCCTTTCCCCACCGCTGTCCGTCCCCACTGACCCCAGTGTTTGGTACTCCCTTCCCTGTGTCCATGTGTTCTCATTTCTCATCACCCACCTATGAGTGAGAATATGTGATATTTTATTTTCTGTTCTTGTGTCAGTTTGCTGAGAATGATATTCTCCAGATTCATCCATGTCCCTACAAACGACACGAACTCATCATTTTTGATTGCTGCATAATATTCCATGGTGTATATGTGCCACATTTGCCCAACCCAGTCTATCAACTTGGGTTGGTTCCAGGTCTTTGCTAATGTAAACAGTGCTGCAATGAACATTGGTGTGCATGTGTCCTTATAGTAGAACGATTTATAGTCCTTTGGATATATATACCCAGTAATGGGATTGCTGGGTCAAATGGAATTTCTATTTCTAAGGCCTTGAGGAATCACCACACTGTCTTCCACAATGGTTGAACTAGTTTACACTCCCACCAACAGTGTAAAAGTGTTCCTATTTCTCCACATCCTCTCCAGCATCTGTTGTCTCCAGATTTTTTAATGATTGCCATTCTAATTGGCATGAGATGGTATCTCAATGTGGTTTTGATTTGCATCTCTCTAATGACCAGTGATGATGAGCATTTTTTCATATGTTTGTTGGCCTCTTG